GTCACTCACCCTTGCACCCCCAGCAGCCGCTACTCTTCTCTTCTCATGGACTTGACTATGTGGCTAGCTCATGTTAATCATATCGCATAGTGTTCGTCTCTGTGACTGGCGGGTTGCTGTAGCGGAAGGTTTCCGGAACCCGTTCATCATATGACAGGCATCGGTGCGCTGTCCTTCTATGGCCTACTGTGCCATGGTCCCAGTCCACACTTTATTTGTGCAGTCTTCAAGCGATGACCATTTGGATTGTTTCCACTTTTTGGCTCCTGTAAGTATCGCTGTCATACACGTTCATGCACCAGTTTGAAGTGTTGCACCTTTTCACTTGTAGTTACACACCTGGAAGTGGACTGCTGGGTCATACGGGTAATTCCAGGTTAGCATTTTGAGGGACTACGAAACTGCTGCCCAAACCGGTGGTGCTGTCTCACACTCCGACCAGCACCGTGCAAAGGTTCACATGTGAATGTGCGCCTCACGCATGTTCTTATGTCTTGAGCTGTATTGACTTGCATTTCTCCAACAGATGGTGATGCCGAGCGTCTTATGTGGATAATTGGCCATTTGTACGTCTTCCTGGGAGAAGCGTTTATTTGGAGTCTTTGCCTACGGTATCAGTCAGGGTTTATTAGAGAAACATGTAACACAAGATACACAAATGTATGAGAATCACAAGATTGACTGGGGATGGCAGCCACAGAGTTGGATGGGGCCGTGCAGAGGGTGTCTGCGTGCTGGAGGCTGAAGGGTCCAGCCCAGAGTCCGGTGCTTAACTGCAGTGTCCCGTGTAAGTCTATATCAGGGGGCCAGTGGGTCTGCCGAAGAATCCGCCATGGAAGGCTGAAGAATCCCAGGTGGAAGCCCGGAGATGCTGTCCAAACTGAAGAGGAAAACCAGCTGAGCGGAAGACCCCACAGTCGGCCCTTGGTTTGCCTTTTGCTGTATGCAGGCTGCTTCCCCAGGGCAGCCGTAGCACTCACACCATCTCCATGCCTCCTCTTGCACAGGGGAGGATGTTAGAGAGTAGGGCCCCTGGCCCTGCCGGGCGTTTGCACTTCTGACCTTCTCGGGTTAGCACAGTGAGTCTGTCATTACACCAGTTTACAGTTTCGTCTCTCTATGAAGTTGGAAGAATTGTTCGTTTTACATACACGTCCTTGGGCAGAGGTGTGATTATACGTCTTTTATCCTGTTTTGGGGGTGTCCTTTTACTCTTTTAGTGACAGTGTTTCAAGTGTCTGTGTTTATCTGTTAATCTATTTTATCTATCTTTGGTGGTGTTTTTGGTAGCTTATGTAAGAAACGGTTGGCTAACTCAGAAGTCGCCACAGTCCTATGATTTTTTTTCAAGTTTAATTGATTTAGCCTTTTCAGCTAAGTGTATACACAATGCATTTTGTGTTTCTGTGTGTATGTATGAGGGGATAAAAGGGGTCAGACTTCTTTCTTTCACATCTGAATACAGTTATCCTAGCACTATTTATTGAAAAATACTATTAATGGTCTTAGTATTCTCATTTTTTAAAAAAAAAGTTTATTCCTTAATTCTTGATTCTATTTTCATGTCAGCCGTATTGCACTGATTACTGGACCTCAGAATTTTTTTTTTTTTAAGAAATTGTTTCTTTTTTTTCTTTCTTTTATTTAAAGAAAGACAAAACAAAATAGGTAGAAATAATAAATATGTTCAGAGAAAAAAATGAACAGTAAGAATTCACTAGTTGATGTTTATATATTGTCACTTTACAAATAGTTGTTCAAGATATAAAAATGGAACATGTAAAGTGGGAATTCAAACAGCGAGACCGCAAACAGTTCTGTTCAACTGTCCAACAAAAACTTAGTAACATGGTTGTCAATCCTTTACACTTAAACATACATGCAGTTATCCATATCTTCATTTATGTTTAGGTTAAACAAACTAAAGCAGGTTAAAATCATTCTGAACAAAGAATAATAGTATTACTGGATTTCACATCATGACACTCAATGATCACCACTGGGTACTGTAGTGTCTTTTTTTTAAATTTAATTTAAAGAAAGATTAAACAAAACAGAAAACAGGTAGAAATAATACATAATTTCAAAGAAAAAAATAAACAGTAAGAAATCACTAGTTGATGATTGCAGATTGTCTTCTTACAAATAGTTATTCAAGATACTAAAGTGGAGCTTATAAAGTAGGGATTCAAAAGTGAGATTGCAACCAGTTCTGTTCAACTATCCAACAAAAACTTAGAAAGAAATATGATTATCAGTCCTATACACTTAAACATACATGCAGTTATCCATTTCTTCAATTATGTTGAGATTAAATAAACCCAAGCAGGCTAATATAACTCTGAACAAAGAATAATACTATTGCTGGGTTTCACATTATGACACTCCAGCATCAGCACTGGGTATTTTAGTGTCTCTTTTTCTTCAGAGTATCTGTTCATTTCATCATGTGTCATATGATCAGTTCTCATAAACTGTTTATGGATTCTACACATGCATGAGTCTTAACATGTCTTTCTATCCTTTCTGTATTAGAGGGAGAAACAAAACAAAGCAAGGCAAAACAAAACATTCCTATAAACACATGAAAAGAAATAAACATATAAGGCCATTGTACGAATTGTTCTACAAGAGTTCCTGTGTTATCTCTTGTTATCTCCAATAGAATTGGCTATATCGTCAGACATAGTATAATTGAATATGTCAGTACGTAACAGTATTAATAAAAACACAACTTTGTATATAGTATAGAACTTCAAAAACCGGCAGTTATCAAATCAGAATGTGTATCATTGAGTCTTGTCATCTTCAGTGTAGTTGCCTATATTCTCAGATGTGATGCTATCAATTATATCACTTTTGAATGAAATCTTCTCTGCCTCATTTCTGTTATGCTCTTTTTTTGCCATCAGTTGTCTGCTTATCTTCTTCATTGTGTTTTCTGCTCCATTCATTGAGGCCTCTCTGCCACTGTTCCTGGATTCCTAGTACTTTTATCTCTCCCTAGAATGCCCTGGAGTATTCTCTGTAGAGTTGGATTGGTGGTTGCAAATTTCCCAAGTTCCTCTTTGTCTTGGAAGCATCTTGTTTCTCCATTAATTTGTAGAGACAGTTTAGCAGGGTATATCAATCTGGGATGGAGGTTATTTTCTTTCAGGGCTTGGAATATTTTGCTCCAGGCTCTTCTTGACTTGATGGTTTGTGTCGAGAAGTCTGCCGTTATTCTGACGGGCCTTCCTCTGTAGGTTATCTGTTTCTTGTCTCTAACAGCTTTTAATATTTTAAAAGCATGGAGCACGGAGGCGGCGGTGGTGGCGGACTTTGTGCCACCTCCCCTACGGGTCGGTGGCCACAGCGGGGTCAGGGGCAGGGGCGGCCAGTGGGTCACTCCCCGGAGGGTGGCGACAGGTCTCCCCAGCGGAGGTGCCGCAGGCAGCAGCTGGAGCGCGGTGGTGTGGGGATCATTCAGGTTGCTGTGATGTGCACTGCATTTCTTTGCGTCACCGTTCTTATATTGAATTTCTGGGACCTTGATTATTATATGCCTGGATGTAGCTCTGTTTTGGTTGTAGGTGGCTGAAGTTCTGTATGTCTCGTATATCAGAATATTATTTCCTTATGTTTGGGAAGTTGTCCTTAATTATTTCTGTGACTAACCTTTATAGTTCCTTTGTTTGTACCCCTGCTTCTTCATTTACATTCTTTATTCTCAAGTTATAGATTCTTTTGTCATCGTCTAGCCTTTGTATTGTTACTGCTTATTTCCTTGTTATTTTTTAAAAGTTTTCCCTTTCATACTCCCACATTGCTAAATTGTCTTCCAGTTTGGATAATCTATCCTTAGTTTCTTTCAAGCTGATTTGCCATCGTTCCATAGAGTTTTTAATTTCCTGGTGATCTCTTTGAATCTGCTTCATGTATTCTATATTTTTTTTTCTATTCTTCACCAAATGGTCCTCTTCTGTATTTGAGTTCCTCCCTTCTTCCATTTGTGTCTGCTTGAGGGGTGCTTAGTATGTCTTTTATTAATCTTCTTATTTGGCTAAATATTTCACTTTTTGAACTGTGAGGTCCTAAATATATCTATGTCCACTGACGCCGTGTCTGATATTGCATGTTTGCTGTTCTCGTTCTCCTTTGTATTTACCTGTCCTGGTCCAATGTTCTCAGGGTTGGGACCTGGGGACTTTTTGTTGTTGCTTCCTCTTCCCATCTTTTTTTGCTTCTTCCAGGAGGCCCCAGTTTCTTTCTTTGTTGAAAGAAACGCACTGTTTCTGAAACGCACTGGCTAGATGACCCTTCCCACTGCAGTGTGCTAGTGAGTTGCAGACAGGGACAACGTATGCTGGCTCCTCCCCTCCGGATTAGTCAAGCGCTGTGGACTGCACTGTATTACTTTGCGTCACCTCCCCTTTGGGTTGCGGCAGCTGGAGCACGGAGGCGGTGGTGGTGGCAAACTTTGCGCCACCTCCCCTACGGGTCGGTGGCCACAGTGGGGTCAGGGCCAGGGGCGGCCAGTAGGTGCTCAGTCACTCCCCGGAGGGCGGCGACAGGTCTCCCCAGCGGCCCAGAGGCGCCGCAGACGGCAGCTGGAGTGCGGCAGTGTGGGGATTAGTCAGGTTGCTGTGACGTGCACTGCATTTCTTTGCGCCGCCTCCCTTCCGGGTCAGTCAACTACTGTGGTCTGCACTGTCAGTCAAACTTCTGAGATTTCACTGGGTTACTGTGGTCAGTGTGCACCATCCCTGTAGGGACTTGATTTCGGATAACCTCTTGGGTCTCAGCCAGGTCACATGATCCAGGCATAGCTCACTCCACCAGTCATGTTCAGGATGGGAACAACTGACGAAGTCACTGCTGCCCCTTGTACTTGCCAGTCCTGCCGGTCCCAGAATGTTGTCCGCCAGAGCCCCCCTATTTATGGAATGGCTCCACTCCTGTCCCTCACCACAGGTTGATGTAGGCACCTTGCCAACTCAGCTCTCCCTTTGGCTCAACAGCCCCCAAATTCAATGTCGGAGCAGCAGGACCTCGGACAGCTTGGCAAATTGCAGTGGGATCTCGGCAACCCGCGAAGGGACCTCGGTAAGCTGCAAAGGGACCTCGGCAAGCTGCGGTGGGACCGGGTTGGGACCTCGGATGGTTGGCAAGTTGCCTTAATTTCTTCTTTGGACGAGAGAATTCATCTCCCTCTGTTTGGGGCTCCCCACTCTGTATTATTTTGAATTCTAAGTTGACTATCTCAGGGAGCCTTTGTAGCCAGCTGTTATCTATCCACCATCTTGCTCCTCCCTCCTAACCATTGGATTTGAAAAGGAGAAACAATATTTTTGCAGCCTCTTCTATCTTCTTGAAAAATGAGAACTGTGAGGGGTTCTGTTTCAGATGGTTTTATCAGCAGTATTTTGGTTGATGTTTTAAGCTCACGGCAGAGTTGTGTCTGAACCTGATCTGTTTTTCATGCCTCCTGCTGCTGCTCATGCAGTGTGTGTCGCGGACCAGTTTAAGGTCACCATATTTCTTTGTTACATCTGGCCACAGGAGCCATTACTGTTTTCAGGTGTTTTGCAGCTGATCACACTTTTTGCCTTTTTATGTGATAGCATTTTCTGTGCTACTCCCAACTTAACTGCCTATAATATAAAATTTAAGCACATGTTCACTGCCACTTGTATGTCATAGATTTAACATTTTGTCCACTTTGCCTCTCCTCTTGCTCTTTCTCAGTAGCTACTTTTCCTTCCTTCCCTTCTTCCCATCCTCCCTTTCTGTTTTTGTGACCCATTCTTATGAATGGTGCATTTGCAAACATCTCCTAAGAATAAAGGTGTTTTCCTGCATGCATCGTATTTAATGGTAAAAAAATCCTTAATACCTAGATTCAGCTATTTCCATTTGTTACTCTAAAGGGTCAGTTTGTGCTTTAGTTAGATACTGTGATCTTCACCTGGCTTCTGTAATTCTTGTGAAAGTATTTTCATGTGTGGACAATTCTCATTACCTAAGTTTACCTGAGCATCACAAAGGGTCCAGTAGATCCACAACCATTCCAGGGTTTGTTAGAAAAAGTTTTCTTTTGATTTTTCTGGTAGAAGTAGCCCAGTACAGTGGCTCATGAGAAACCAGATTTGCAAGTTTTGGAGAATCATCAATTTTCTCATGCATGGATGGTGAAGATGCTCCATTATGGTCCAATACATCCTTTCCTAGTGGGTGGTGTATGTTGATGATGATGATGATGATGACGATTGCTATGAGGATAACAAAAGTGACAATATGGCTTTGATGTTGGCCATGTAAGCCAAAAAATCTGTGACAGTGAAGTGGAGTAAGAATCAACTGATATGGACAGGAAATGTAGACTTCAACTCAGATGGTGAACAAAACAGCAATGTGAGGACATATTTGACCAGTCAGAATGTTCCAAAGTGGCCAGGCCACCAAATGAAACAGTCCTGTGTTAGAGCTAGGTCCAAAAATGCAGTGGAGGTCTTGTCAGGGACAAAAGGTATTAGACAGAAGAGTGGCCCTGCTGTGCAGTGTGGGGAATTGTACAGATGAAAAGCTGCAAGAGACCATGAAATACAGTTAAAACATTCTGTATGTACCAATAGGCATATTCAGAAATGAATGTATTATGACACCTAGCTGACCTGAAACATTCGTGGGTCTGCTGTGCTTTGCACGGATTCCTTATGTTATTACAGGAATGTAAAAGACCTATGGGAAAGCACTGTGTCACAAAGTGGCATAAAAATTTATGCCCTTGTAGACGCAAAGACATTATACTTAGAGTTTAGACATTTATCCTGGAACTCGGCCATCAGGTCCTTATTCATACAGTAATAAACTAAATGATGTTGTGACCAGACTAATGGAGGTATGACACTGGACAGTTGGTTGACCAGTTTCCAGTTAATGTTCCATTGGCTAACAGAGCACAAGTTGACCAGCGCGGGAAATGTAACCAGGAACAAAGGAGAAATTCCAAATCAAATGTTGCATCGAAAAACACAGAATTGTATAGTACAAACTTTGGATTTCAGAAAGATATAACGTTGGCCTCATATATGGCAAAGGAAAACAAAAATGTACTACTGATTTAAAGGTTTCACCAAGATGGAGATATTGATAGGAAACCTCAACAGGGCAGACGCCGAGACGGACTTTCTGTAGCAAAACTGAAGGTGGAGTGGATGTTGCTGGTGAGTTACTCAGCGCCTGTGATGCCGCTTAAAACACGAAGCATGGTCTGTGGCCGTGTTTCACTTGGTCCTGACCGTGTGGCCTGAACAGCTTGATGGTTTACAACGAAAATAGCAAGTGCAAAGTGTCATGGAGAAAGTTTCTTAAGAGGATTGGGATTGGAGCTCATAAGAGATCATTTACAGCGGGGGAAACCCAAAATGTTTCTGCCCGGGGAGGAAAAAAACTGTGAAGCACACTGGTGAGCTGACAGGTGAGCGGGCAGGCACAGCATCACACAGACCTGCAACCACCACAGGAAAACAGCGAGATGCAGCTGTACCCACAGGAGAAGGAGGGACAGGAAAACAAAGCACACGTGCTGGCAGTGCAGGCCGTGCTTGTGCAGGGGACACGCGTTTGTCGTGTGTGCAGACTGCCTTGGATGGGACAGTTGGAGCAAAGCTTATTTCCACGGGAGACTTGTTTGCATTTACCTTGTAGTGTAGTTTACGTAGCTTTTTATTTTCCATGTTATCTTCTGGGTTTGTAAGCAAGTACACAGTGATGTGAAAATATTGTCTAAATGCATAATACATTTCAATAATTTATTTCATTGATACTTTATATTCCTGTTCACTACACATTGTAGAATGTGAGCCTCCTGACAAAACAGCAAGACCCCTGAGATGTCAAGCAGGTCCTCCAGGAAGGCCAGGGAGGCAAAGGCACGCGCTGTGTGTGTGCACAGTGAGTGTGCGTGGAGCTGGCTGGTGCCGTGTGTGTGCTGCCTTCAGTGCGTAGCCAACGTAAAGACTGTTTATTCCTTGTAGGGTGCTATTGGTATTTCATATAGTTCATATGGGAATTCATCTCTGAAGTTCTTTTTTTAGAATTTGTACACTAAAAAATAAAAAAGCAAAAAAAAAGAACTTGTACACCAAAAACCTGTCAGTGTTGAAAATTTTGATTTTTTTAAAAATAAAAAGTAGATATGAAAAACTCAGTACTCTATTTTTGTGATTTTTTTTTCCTGTTAAGTACTCATTGTTTAATATAGTAAGATTTATGAAATTAAAATTCATCAATAGAAGTATTCTAAAAAATAAATGTGAGTGTGACAGACCCATGTTTCTGGACCTTAATGACAAAAAGTAGTCTTATGCTGCAGGTACTATCCTGTAGCACCCTAGGCACTTCGTTTCCTAGAAGCAGGTTGACTTTAAAGTCTGAGTTGTGTTTAACAATTCTTGGCTTTCATGTTCTTATGTACAGTATGTTGATAGGTAAATACAAGGCATCAAGTTGTCTCTCAAAGTTGGATCTTTTAGTTAAGTGGTGTTCATCAGATCTTTGTTAAAAACCCCGTGTCGGCCAGGGTTGGACCGTGGAGCTTCCTGAAGGCAAGATAGGCCTCGGGCTTCCTGCCCTTTAAAGTGCCAGCTCTTTGTTCTTAGCGCCTCTAATAGCGGCAGACAACTCGCTCAGTGTTATAGAAATACATTTTTTATTGTCTCATCATTTCAGTTGCTGTTCCTTCTTTATTTTATTTTTTTGTCTTTTTCCTTTTTTTTTTTTTTTTTGTCTTTTTCATTTTTATCGGTACCAGGGATTGAACTCATGACTGCTTGCTTGCAAGGCAGGTGCTTAGGCCGCTGAGCTAAATCCCCAGCCCCTCTTTTTCCTTTTTATTGGTACCAGGGATCGAACTCATGACTGCCTGCTTGCAAGGCAGGCACTTATGCCACTGAGCTAAATCCCCAGCCCCTCCTTCTTTTTTTAAATTTTATTTTGAAAGTATACAACAGAAGAAGACAGAATAAAGCCAACTAAGATCGTACAGTGAAATTGGTACAGAACTTCACAGCAGGTTACCCTGGTAATAGTAATAGGTATCACAGTATATTTTGGTATCTTTATAATAGTTGTTCTTTCAATCCCGTATCTCAAAATGAGATGAAATATAGAACACTGTAGAACTTATCAAAACAGAATATTGAGTAGAGCAGTACCATTAATCAGAAAAGAGCAAAACAGTAATAAAAATATTTGCCTTCAAAGAGATGGTAGAAGGAAGTCCCCCTTATTTGCTATGGTCAACCTCCCAGGAGATGCTCAGATTTCTGGTTCCCATTTGCTAATGGGTGGGGGGGGGTGTGGAGAAATGGGGTAGGGCAAGTGGGATGTTTGACTCTAGGCCGTGCATCAATCAGTAGGTTCACTATTGCTTAGCAGGGAGGCAGGCTGGTTGTTTGGTTTCACAGCATCCTAAGTTCCAACATGGCGCAGATCTCAGGAGCTGCTGCTAGTTCTCCCCCTGGAAGGGCTGCAGTCTGCCACACTGCCACCGATTACCAGGGAAGGGAGGTGCTTACTTGGCTTCCCAGAGTCCTAAGTTCCAACGTGGTGCGGATCTCAAGAGCTGCTGCTGGTTCTCCCTCTGGAAGGGCTGCTGTCTGCCACACCTAGTTGCTGTTCCTTTTTTTAAAAAACAAGTTTTGTTTTTAAAAGTTTTAGACTCACAGGAAAATGGAGCCTGTCCTCTAACAGAACTCCTGTGTCCCTCATTCTCAGGCTTTCCCTGGCGTCTTACTGTAGTGTGGCACAGGCCTCACCTTCTGTTAACAGAAGCCTACAGTGTCTTCAGCTTTCCCTAGCTTTTATGTAATATCTTTTTTCCTGCTACATTATCCAGGATAGCACATCAACGTTTTCATGTTTCCTTTGGATTTCTTATCTTAATTTCTCAGTCCTTTTTGGTTACAATGGTTTAGATATTTTGTTGAATGCCTTTTTACTGGACTTCAGTGTTGTGGGGTCCCCTCCACTTCATTTTTAGACTAGCCTTTTAAGTTCTGGGAATGAAGATCGTGTAAGTAAAGTTCTATTTTTATCGTCACGAATAAATGACGTAATTTGTAACTGTGAATGTTGACCTTGATCACTTAGCTAGGGTACTGGTGGTCAGATTTTTCCACTGTAAAGTTCCTTTGTCCCTTTCTATACTTTGTAGGTAGAAATGGTGCCAGTGCATAGCTCACACAGAGTAGGGAATTATCCTTCTCTTGGCCCCTACTTGAGCGTAGAGTATCTATGCAGATTACCTGAACTCTTTATATGTGAAGAGATTTTTTTACATTTACTTAGTCAGCCATTTATATTAGTATGGAATCATGGATATTTATTTTATACTTTGGGTTATAATCAAGCGCTCCTCATTCAGAATATTCTGGTTTTTTCCTGCTGGGAACCCTTTAGTTGGCTTCTGTGACCATTTGGATAATTTATAATCCTGGGATAGTTTTTGTTGAGAGTATGTCCTTGTCTTAATCACATTCTGGTCCCTGAGACACAGTAGTTGACGCCTGCAACTTAAAGTTGGAAAGGTTTATTTTGCCTCACAATTTGTAGAGATTTCAGCCCATAGTCCCTGACTCCAGGCCTGACGGCAGGCACCTGGACACAGCAGAGGAGGGCTGCACATGGTGTGGGGGTGAGGATGCAGAGAGAAGGGGAAGGAGTGTAGAGGAAGAAGTTACATCCTCCCAGCTGTGGGCCGGTAACCTGCCTCCTCTAAATCACATTAAACTCACCAGTGTACTGATGGGCATGAGTGTCACGCACCCATGATCCAGTCACCTCCCAAAAGATCCACCTGTGCATGTGTGAGGCTGTAAGGGAAATTTAGGTGTAAACTGTTAATGTCCCAGCCCTGCTTCCCAGAAGACTCATGTGCATCCCTTTATGTAAAATGCATTTGGTCCATTTCTAAGTGTTGCCAAAGACCTAACAATTTCAGCATTGCTAAAAACTTCAAGTTCAAAGTCTCCTCTGAGTCTTAGGGCAAACTTTTAGCTTGCCCTTGTCAGAAATGTTAAACACTTCAACATAGAAGGCCAAAGGGTAAATATTTCTGTTGTAAGTATGGAGGTATGGAATGATAGAAAGCAGGGAGACCAGGACCAGACCACAACCCAGCAGAGCAAACATTAAATCTCTGTCTCCACGTCCAGCACCTGGAGCAGGATGTAAGCTTCAGCCTGAGTGACTTCAGCAACACCCCGCCCACTCCCATAGCTGGGCCACTGCAGCCACCGTGGCTTCTGTCTTGGCTGACTGTATGCACCATGTGCAGTTTTCCTCAGCAGATGGTCATGTTCCCAGCTTTTCCAGCTTCCCAGGTTCTCCACTGCACTTCTTCTTCACTCTCAGAGCTGCACGCATTGTGTTCTCACAGGCAGACTGCCAGGCCTCCCAGGCCTGCTGCTGAGATCTAGGTAAAAGCTCCAGGATTCTGTAATTCTTGCATTATGCATTCCTATAAAACCAGCACCATGTGGCTGACACTAAGGTCTGCTGCCAGCTAGAGCATAGCCAGGCCTTTTGGCATCTTGTCTGTGGTGGCAGGCCTCTAGGCACCTTGATGGCTGAGCGTGGTAAAACCCTGAAATATGCATTCTCTACAGAGTACCCTGGGACTTTTTCAAAGCTAAGTCAAAGGGGAGGAGTGTTGCTATTTCCTTATACGCTCTTAAACTGTTTTCTCTATTCTGATCTAAAGTACTCAGCTTCTTTTTAAGACTAATGTCTTCAGCAGCCAAATTCTCCTGTGCCCCATCTTTGTAGGCATTTTCTTTGTTGCAAATCTGAAAACTTTTAAAGTAGGCCTTGTGCACTTGATTTTGCATATAAATCTGGCTAAAAATTTCCAACAGTGTCCATGCTACAACCCTTATGTTGAGCTGCTTTGAAATTTCCTCTGCCAGATTAAATAGTCCAGAACCCTTAATCTCAGTCTCCTGCAGTCTGAAGACATGAGCAAAATGTAGACCATTTTTCTCCCAGAGTATCACCCACGTGTTCTGAAGTCCAACTCCTGTTTGAAATCCTTGTTCCCATCTGAAACCTTAGTTTGATCTTCACCAGCTGCATTACTGTCAGCATTCTTGTCTTCTGAACTCTCACTAGAATCTGCCATCAAGCTCAGTTCAGCTCATCTCACAGCATTCTTGGGTGGTTTCTCCAGCCACCGTCTCCAAATCTTTCCAAACTCCTCTTGCAGGCTAGTTACAGAGGTGTCTAAACCACAGAGTCAGGTAGCAGTGACCTTATTTCTCTGGTACCAGAGACTCTTTCTGGTCCCTGGGTCACAATACCTGACATCCTTAAAGAGGGAGAAGTTTATTTATTTTGACTCACATTTTTTAGTCCATAGTCCAAGGTAGGACAGCAGGCAGATAGACATGGCAGAGGAGGGCTGCTCACCGTATGGTGGTGGAGGAGCAAAGAACGGAGGTGAAGGGGGGAGTGGTGGGGGAAGTCATTGCCTTCCAGGCCGTCATGGGCCAGCGATCTGCCTCCTCTCATCAGACTCGGCATCCTAAATCCCACTTAGGTGTAAACGTAACAGCGATGAGTGTCATGATCCTGTGATCCTGTCACCTCCCAGAAGCCTTGGGGAGGTGAGTGGATGAGGCCCTGGGAGACATCTAGGTGTAAACCAGAACAGTACGTAAAGCTCATATGATACTGCCTTCTTTCCCAGACCTAGAATGGGTCTCTTCTCCAGGGAGCACTGTGGCTTTTCATCAAACAGTGGTATTCAGAGCAAAGAAATGGATATTTATTTATTTATTATGAGAGATACCTATTCACTTACCTATAGATATAGACATATAGATACATGCACAGACACAAGTGTTTCTGAGTCTTTATTAAGCTGAGCACAAGTTCTCAGCTGTCTTCAGCTCTGACTCATTACCATGTGGATCCTTCTGGTGAACTCCTTAATGATGGGTAATTTCTTCAATAATGAGAAATGTGCCTCCCAACATCGGCCGTCATTTCCTTATTGAGTTCCAGAATAAATGTCCAGTGCCGTCCGATTCATCAGCCCGTCCTCTAGGGGAAACACAGTACTGAGTGGTGAGGGTGTTTCTCCCGGCTGTCGTTTTTCTTTTGTTTGCAGTACTGGGAGTTGATCCCACGGCCTCATCAGTGCTGGACAAGCACTCTACCATGAAGCTGTGTCCTCTCCACATCCCCCCCTTGGTTTTGCTTTATTTGACTCCTCAGAAATTTCTACATAGTCATGACATCTGTAAACACGTTATTTTCTTGCCACCCAGTCCGTTTACTTTTGTTTTGTTGTAATATTTCCAGCATGATGTTGAATACAAGTGGCTGGAGCAGATATGCTTGCTTTCTTCTTGACATTAGAGGGGAAGATTGAAGTTTTCCCAGCGTTGGTTAACTGTAATGTTGGTGGGTTTTTTTCCTGAATATTACTGAATTGAAGTAATTCGCACTTTTTCTGATTTCCTGATAAGTTTCCATCATGAATGGGTGCTAGACATTGTCACCTGCTTTTCCCAAATCTATTGATACGAGCATATGGTTTTTCTTCTTCAGCGTGTTGGTGTAGTAGGCTGCATGAAATGGTTTTTAGAACCAGCCTTGCATCACATTACTTAAGATAAATGATTCTTTTTATACGTTGCTGAATTTGACATGCTAGTATTTTCTGGGCAGAAGTGACAGTAAACCTGTCAGAGCTGTTAATGGTAACAAACGGCTGACGGTGGCAGGTATGCCGTAGGTGACGCACCACCACTGTTACAGAGAATTGATACCATTTTTGTCCATAAATATTAGGTAGAATTCACCAGCAAAATGATTTGGGCCTTGTCCTTTCTCTTAGAATGTTAGTAACTATTGATTTTAGTTTCTTTTAATAGATACTGGCCATTCAGGATTATTATTTTCTTTCATAAGTGTAGGCCAAATATGGATTGCATATTTATTTTTGAGCGAGCTTTAGTAGATTGTGTCTTTCACAGAAATGGTTTGTTTCATCTCAGTTATCAAATTTGTGGTTCATGGTATGCCTTTATCATATTTTTGATGTATTTTGGATCAGTAACGATGACTGCTTTTTTAACATTAGTAAACTGTATATTCTTTCCTTTTTCTTGTTTGGCTGGTTAGAGGTTTATTCATTTTATTTATATTTTTAAATAGTTTTTTTGTTGTTGTTTTGTCTGTTCTTAATTTCATTGCTTCCTCCTCTAATTTTTTCTTCTGTTTGCTCAGGGAGCTGCCATTCACAAATTGTCACAGCTTTGGCCAGTGGGAATTTCTTGAGCTGCCTGCTTTGTCATTTTGATCTGATTTATCTTTGAGGGCTTCTTGAATTTCTGGCAGAAGTGGTAGTCTGTTTCATCCTGTGCCTACCCTGCCACCACCTGGAACACTCCTTTTGAGGAAATTGACTAATGTCTTGATTTTCCGTGAGTGGTCAATTCTTTCATCCAAACTCCAAGCTGGCTTCCTTACACGGGCTCTCTCTCAGTCATTACAGAGAACAAGGACAGCTGAGGCCACCTGCGCCTGCTGGTGTTTCTCGCCTCTTTCTCATTTCAGAAACGTGTTCCCGCTCACCTTGTGTGAGTAGAGCCAGACTCTTGTATGAACATGCTGCAGGTGACCTGTTGGTAGCAGTTTGGAGTTTTGCTGTGTTAAGAGATAGTTGGATGTCAGCTGCTGTATCTTTTTAAGAAGTCTGAAAGGTGAGTATACTGTATTCTGGACTACTTTTTTTTTTTTTTTTGTCTTTTTCGTTTTTATCGGCACCAGGGATCGAACTCACGACTGCCTGCTTTCAAGGTAGGCACTTATGCTGCTGAGCTAAATCCCCAGCCTGGACTACCTTATTTGGCATTTCTGTGCAATTATTTTGTCATTTCTTTTTAGAGTGTTTGAACTTTAGCTTCATGGTTCTTTGCTTGTTTCTCTAATACAAATAGTCTTTTACAGTCCTGTGTAAACACTGTTGCTCTTCTCTCTCATTTTATGGATGGGAGAGGGTGATGTGAGGTTACCCGAGGTCGTACACTTGACGAGGAGTGGTCCTCCAGAGCACGAGTCTGATCCCAGGCTCCTTCTGTCTGCTGGTTAAGTAGACAGTCGTTTGTGATGTGTGTCACGTTCTCTTTTCTCTGTGTGTTCATTACATGTAAGGGGTGTCACGCTTGTTACCAGATGCTTTGGTGTAGCGTTGGAAGCCTTATTTAACCATTAGGATCTTGAGATTCCTAATGGAGAAATTTAGAACCTTGCATTTCATAACTTGATTTAGTGTACTTTCACTGTAATTCTTTTTGGCAAAGAGTCAGACATTTTCTTGAATAATGTTAATGTTTAAAGAGATTGAAACCCCTCCCCCCCAAGCTGGTACTGAACCCAGGGCCTTTGCACTGAGGTACATCCCCACCTGGTTTTATTTTTTTCAGGGCAGATCTAAGTTGCCGAGGTTAGGCTGAAATTTGCAGTCCTCCTGCCTCAGCTTCCCAAAGTAGAGGTGTGTGCCTCCACGTCCGGCTGAGGTCTTTAAAAGTATGTTAAATCTGTTCAGGTGTTGTATTTGTGATGATGTAAGATCAAACAATAAGTAAAAACACTTCATAATGTATAGAGTTCATTGGTGTGTATAGTTACTGTTGGCACTGTGGAATTATTTTATGGAAAGAACATACTTTACTAGTAGTCCTAGGGCAGTGATGGCAAACGTTTAGAATGTCCAGTGATACAGCCAGCCTGCTGCTGCATGCATGCCTCCTCCACTGTCCTAGCGCCTTGGATCAGAACTCTGAATTTCAGGTTTTTGATACGTTGATATAATGTGCAACGCCTCCTACTTTCTGGTTCATTTTTGTCCTTGTTCTCTGTTTTTTAGTAGTATTAAAGCCTTTTAGGTAGGTCATAGCAAGTTGACCACCTTTTAAAAATTTTTTATTTTATTTTTTACTGGTTAAGACAAGGTCTTGTAATGTAGCTCAAGGAGGCTTTGAACCAAGGATCTTCCTGCCTCAGCCTTCTGAGTGCTGGGATTATAGGTGGGCACCAGTACACTTGGTGGCCCATGGCCATTAAGAAGGACATTAGCTGTAGCTGGGGAGAGGCAGAGAGAAATGGAATACATTTTACCATTTACTTCAAAAAACCTGAAGGCAAACACATACAAATATGGGGAGTAGAGGGTAAAATAATAAAAATTCCCCGTTATCTTACTAGTAATATTTCAGTATGTTTCTTTTCATATACATTGTATGTACATGAGAGAATATATTTATTTACGTGCATGGATACATAGTTACATGTTCATGTTTTTATAAGAGATCCAGCAGTCACATTAGCATATGTTAATTAGAGACTACAGTAGTAATGCCTGCTTTGATTTGATTAGCAATAAAGTCTAAAAATATAAACTTTGTTGCTGGCCATGGTGGTGCATATCTGCAATCGTAGCACTTTGGGAGGCTGATGTAGGAGAGTCACAAGTTTGACCTCAGCCTAGGCAACATAGGAAGACCTTGACTCAAAAGTAAAAATTAAAAAGGAAGCAGCTCAGAACAAAGACCTTGGGTTCAGTTCTTAGTACTACCAGTGTTAAAGGGGAAAAAAGGCTTCCAAGAAATGTATGGCCTTGGCAGTGAGAGTTTTTATAAGATAAAAGATTTGCAACATTAATGATTGTAGCTGTATCTACTAAGGCTTGTTATTGTCTCAGTTCTAACATGAGATAATATAGGAAGAGATGTCAGGGGTTGTGTGAAGTCAGGACTATTTTCACAGTAATACTGAGATATTATTTGCCTTTTTCATCTCTGTTTCAAGAGTTTTCAGGAAGCCATGTGACCTGACCTGTGATGTGGCCACACACAGAACACAGAAGCACATAACAGAACCCAGCTGCCTGAAATTAAGCTGGACACCACAGAGATCTGCAGAAATGCAAACCACTGGCACTTTCCGCACTGAGTTTTTACAAAAAGCTATCTTCTACTAAAATGCTAACCATGTGATGGATTCGTTATTATTTTAAACTAGATTTTTATTAAATAATTATTTAAAATATCTAGCATAGTAAATATTGATAGGTGTAAGCAACACAAATAAAAGTTCTCTGTGTTAACTTTGTTAAAAGTTCTCTCCAAAATTTTAGAGTGTAAGGGAGTACTGACACCAAATATTTTGAGAACTGCTGGATTATAAAATGTCAAAAAATTCTTTGTTAGGATTATTACCTATCTCAAGACCAGAATTTTTTGATTTCCTCACAGGAATGGATATAAATTCTCCAAACTTTGAGGTTTCACTTCAGAGTCTGAATTTTTGTCATTGACAGTGAATTACTGTCATTTGTTTTCCTTGAGGTGTGGTAGGCTCACTTTTTTCATTTTCAGGAAAACATCCTCTAGGTACCCTCGTTTCAAGCAGTATAGTTTGTGCATGGGTCATGCTTTGAAGTAAACATGTGTTCCATGAAAAAGTGGCTAAGTGCTGTTCCTCGGATAACTGTAGTACTTGAGTGTACATCAGAATGTTTACAAGTGTTGCCCACGCATGTGTGTGAAATATCACTCGCTGATCACCTGAAAAACGCTAGTTCAATGAGGTCCAACAGATCATTTCTGTATGCCACCACGGTCATACTGTATGAGAGTACACGGGGCCATCAGAACTCCTTCTGTGTCAGGTATCTGAGGGTCGAAGTAGAGATAATTCATGTTTGAGTGGGATATCAGTAAAACTGTTGACTCTTAGCCACCTAGGGGCGGAGCCAGGATGTAATGTAATGGCAGGAAGAAGGTGTGTCTCGCTCTTGTGCCTGTTTTCTGCTTGCTGTTTGCAGCCGCCATGAACTGCGGGCCCCGCCATGCCAGCCTGCCTTGGAGCCAACTGAATGTGGGCTGAAACCTCCAAAAATTGTAAGAAATAAACCTTTCCTTTCCCAACTCAGGGCTTCAGGTATTTTGTCTCAGTGATGAGTAAAAACTAACTAAGACAGAATTTGGTACCAAGAGTGGGGTCATTTGCTGTGACCATACCTGACCGTGTTTTTCAAGAGGCTTTGGAAATAGCCTGTGGGCAGAGTTTGGAAAGGTTCGGACATGTTTCCTGGATGCATAGAGCTGGTGCAGCCTAGGCTGTTCTGTAGTGAGGATTCTGGTCAGAGCTCAGGAGACCAGAAGGCTGATAGAAAGCCTGATGGTAAAGACCAGGCTTGGGAGGTTTCTACAGGGAAGGACTTCATTGGTTGTTGGACTCCACATGATGTGTGTCATGGCTTGATGAAAGTTTGTCTGCATTTTGCTCATGCCCAGAGACTTTGCCTGAGACTGAGACTAAGGGCAATGGACTGATTAATCTAGAAAAAGAAATTTCAAAACAATCGAATGTTGAGTCTGGCATGGCTATTGTTGAGGGCTTTATGTTGCAGATCAAGAGGAAAGAACCCAGCAGGATAATTTGCAATACTGTGACTTTGGCCAAAAAGAAAATTCCCAGGAATGCTGTGGATTGTAAAGAAAGAGTTGAGACTTTGATTGCTGAGGAGAAACAGAAAAATAATAAAGATGGCCCAAGAGCATCCTAAGAAGCATTGATCAAAACTGCAAAAGTGAAAGAATTTGTTCAGAGGAGAAAGCTACAGAGCATCATGCTCCAGAATGGCGACAGAGGCCACATGAGGTTCCAGAAGGCAGCAACATAGAGAAGCTTTTCTTCACAATCAGGTTCACAGAGCCCAACAATCCAAGCAATCGACCCCTACAGCCAAGAGAGAGAAAAGCCTGGCTACTGCTCCAGCTAGCAGCAAACCTTGATGGCATCCACATGGTGCTGATTTTAGGTGCAAGGAAAATGCACAAATTCTGAGGGTAAGAAGGCTTCCACTTTGATTGTAAAGGGCCTGGGAGGCCAAGCAGTGTGCCCCTGAGAGGGCAATTTGTAAAGATATAAGGGTAAAGCCAAAGGTGCAGTAGAGACACCAAAAATTTGGAAAAGCCAAGAATGTGGGTGATCCAGGGAAGGCTGCAAAAAGTGAGCAGGGAGGGTTTAAGAAAAAACGTGCTGGAGCTGAAATCCCTGGATGTGCTGTGGAGGTGGGATCACTCAAGCCTTTTGGAGCTTACAACCAGATTGCTTCAGATGCTGAGCATGGAACTCTAGGACTTAATGTTTGTCCTGCTGGATGTTGGACTTGCTTTGTTTCCAATGCTTTCTATTCCCCTGTTTGTAACTTTTGGAATGGTAATGTTTATCTTGTGCCTTTACATTTCAGAAATGTTTAACCTTGTTTCTTTTGTACAGGGGCTTATGGTTAAGAGTTAGCCATAGATCTTGGAGGAGACTTTGGCTTGGACTATTTAGCAATGCTGAAGCTGTGTAGGACTTTGGCAACTCTTGGAGGTGGACTAAATGTCTTTTGTATAAAGGATGTACCCGAGTCCTGGGGCCAGGGGTGAAATGTCATGGTTTATGTCTCATGAGTTTGCACTGTGCATTTGTGATGGTTCATTGTCTAGTGCTTGGATTGATGGTGTCAGTGCTACACCCACATGGGGGTGGAGCCAGCATATAATGTAATGGCAGGAAGAAGGTGTGTCTTGCTCTTTGGCCTGTTTCCTCCTTGCTGTTTGCAGCTGCCGTGAACTGTGGGCCCCGCCATGCCAGCCTGCCTTGGAGCCAACTGTGTATGGACTGAAACCTCCAAAAACTATTAAGA